AGAAGATTTTGGCTGGTTAAGCATTTGGCGTGGTTAAGCTTTCAGGCTATGGAGCAACACAGTACAGCTGAGATTCATTCTGGATGAGGACACAGAAGCTTCCAGTCTGAGGAAACAGGACCAGCTGAGGAACTGGCGAGGTGAGATAGCTGTGGCTTGCTCTGTCTCTCTGATCTACCAGCATGGACCCCAATTACTGCCTCGGGTTTGATTTTATTAATAAGAACTTTTAAGATTCCTGCTACAGGTCACAGAACAGAATTCCTCTGGAGGGAAGTTCTGTGTGCTCTGTAAGCTCTAAAGGGGAGCTGCAGGAGCAGAGGCTGCAGGTTTTCACAGGCTTCCTACAGGGAGGCAAGGGAATTACAGGCCAAGGAAGGGACCAAGAGAGATGGAGCAGTGAGAGGAGAAAGGGGAGGTGTCCGTGTGTGTGTGTGTGTGTGTGTGTGTGTGTGTGTGTGTGTGTGTGTGTGTGTGTAGCAAGCCAGAGAGAGGAGGAGGCCCCCACGTGGAGGGCACAGCAGGCCAGAGGCCAGAGAGACAAGAGAGGAAGGGTTAGAAAGCAGGTAAAGGGATTACTCAGCTGAATAATCGGACTCCAGAATTTAGAATCAAATTTTGTGGGTGGTATACGCCAGCAGAAATGAATGATCCTTAGGAGAGGAGTCAGATCAGCAGCTAGGTCGGGAGCAGACACTTCAGGGGGAAGCAGAGAGACACACCAGCCAGCGAGGGCTGCAGGCTGGGTATGTGCTTGCTGGGGCGGGCCTACTCCCCAGCTTTCTCCCCCTCCTGCTAGATCCGGCTCACACTTTGCAACGAACTTACAGACCATCAACCCTAACCTAAAGACAGGACATTCACACAGTGGGTGTGGGATACCAGATGAAAACAAACAGGGCTTGACAGAGAAAAGAGAAACAGGGAATGAGGAATCTCTTTCCATTTCCCTGGGTCACTTGCTGTATTTGTAAAGGTTCCAAATAATATTGGGATCTAGGGTGCCATCAGTTGGTTGTTAGGATCCTGGAGAAGTCCCACAACAAAAGACCACCATCCATGTATGCAATCAACAAGAGTGTTTATTGTCTTGAGAGTAAAGGACCAGCATGCTGGGGCTGCCCATCTGACACAAAGGCAAACCGGCAACCATGAGAGAAGCTCACAGGCTCCTTTTAAGCACAGCCAAGGGGAGTTTCTGTGACAATTAGGTCATCTCAGACATGATTGGCTTATGCGAGTGGCAATCATATTAGTATGTTCCAATTGGCTAGGGCTAGCAGGGGCTGGTTAAGGCTCTAGTCTTTCCGTTTGGGGGCAGGCTTGGACAAGTCCCAGGCTTTGTCCTTGAGCTGCTGTGGAGGCTGGCTGGCCTAGCATGTACTGACTGTGGGGGCTGGCTCAGTGGCCCAGGCTTGGTGTGTCCTACTCCCTTGTCCCTCTTGTCAGGAGTATTGAAGAATGATCGTCCTTTGTTTGTGGCTTCCTCAGAAACTGCTCAATTTCAAGAGGCAGGAGCTGAGGCCTAGTTCTTAACAGAGTTGTTAGGAGCTTGTCATGCTTTGCCTGGCCTTCTCATTGGTCACATTTGGATTGATTATCTAAGGGATATGGAGGCCATATTTGAGTCACAAAAGTGAATATATTCGGGGTCTTTCAGGTTGGTGCCAGGTGGAGAGACTGGGGGTTTTCTAAGAGGCATCCCAAAGCAGGGACGGGGAGTGGGGAAGGAGAGCCGGAAGGTATGGATGTCATTCCCTTAGAAAAATGTCACTGCAGCCTATAGTCATGGGCATCCCCAAGACTCAAGGAGGACTGAATGAGGACAAAGCCAGGCAGTGGGCTGGTCAGGTGCTCAGCCTGGCTAAGCCTGAGGAGAGACTTGGTGCCTGGTAGAGGCCAGCATGTGAGGATGAAAAGCTGGGGAATGGGCTCACAATAGTCATGAGGGCCTAGAGGAGCTGTGGATTACAGACAGCTCCAAAGGGAAGGCAGGAGAAGAGGGCAGGAAGGGGTAAAAGAGCCCAGCTGGGCCTACGGAAACTTCAGGACTGCAGCTCTAAGGGTGGGCTTGGGGTCAGGTGATTAAAGACCATGCTGTGGGATACCTCCACCTCCAAGGGTACCGGAGGATCAGGAAAGCGTTTACACTGACCAGAGGGACTACTCACCAATTACTGTGGGCCCAAGCAATCAGTGGCTGGAAGGGGGATCTGTTGCGGATGGACTGGAGATAAGAGATAGGGTGCCTATGCAGTTTAGACACCCAAAGGGGAGTATGGGCACCGGGATACCCTATGGAGTCATGGCAACAATGTTAAGGGTTTTTATTGGGGGGGGGTTGTAAAAGGCCACCTCTGAGTGAGGACGGAAAAGGAGGGGCAAGGTGTAAAGAGCAGAGCAGGGAGAGAGGGAGAGGGACATAGAGAGAGGGAGGGGAAATGGAGACAGAGAAGACAGAAAGAAAGACAGCATATTGAAAATAGCAGGGTTATAAGGAGAATGGGTAGATGGGGGGATAGACATGAGCTGGAGATGTTTGGGATAAGGAGTGGGGTGAGAAGAGCCAGGATGCCAGCATGGACTGTGAGTGTGTACCAGGTCCTTGTGATACTGAGGGAGCCTGGAGGCCAGCATGGGCTTTGGCGTGCTGATGGGTCACAGACAGTCCTTTGTCCCTCTGTCAATGATAAGGGAAATGGCTCCTGTTGATAGAGGGGAACGGACTTCACAGATTCCTGAGGGATTCCGGCTTTAGTCTAACTGCCAGAATTTGGGCAAGTGGGGTTTCCTTTGGACCTACAAGTTGGTACTTTCTTAAAAACATATATTGGCAAGGGGAAACTAAAGCTTTTACAAATGGTATTTGTTTAGAATTCAGTTCTAAGCTGTGCCTGAAAGTGATGGATGAAGGCAGGCATGGGAGGAACACCTGTAGGAAAGCCAGGCTTCGATGGTTACCCTGGAAATCGCAGTTCCGATCTGCTTGTAGGGCAGGGGCAATTCCTCCTAGTGGGTGTGGGTCAGAACTGTAGGAAAGCCCACAGGCTGCTCCCCAGGGTTGGACAGTGCCTCTGAATTTCCCTTCTTGCTTCCAACCATATGATTAGTTTGAGGATATTCTCTCTCCGAGTTTCTAAGGCTCCATTCACGGCTCACTTTGTTTTCTGTTGATCCTACGGATGTAAACCCACAAGCTCACTCTGAGGAATTCTGGGAAAGTGTGTTCCCGTGGGAAGCCTGTTTACCCTAGGAGAGGCTCCTCCATGGCTGAAGTGTGACCAACATGAGCAAGCGATTGATTCAGGGGCAGGCATTGCACTCCCTCTCAACAGAACTTGACCCCAGTGTAGATCACCCTCCATTACCAGTGCCCGGGGCTCTTTGTACGTCCCCTCGTTCGCTGTAGAGCCCTTCAGTAAGAAGCGTGAGTTTGGCTTGACCTTACTCCATAGGTACCACATAAGGAGTTCTCTGCCCTCCACCCACCAGAGTTCCCCAAGGACCCCCAAACATAAATATTTATCCTGACCATGGGAGTATACAGCAGTGACAGCTAGAGTTCAGAAGGTCAACCGATCAGAACTGAGGGTTCTGTTAGAGGAAACCATCACGCAAGGTGTTATGGGATTACTGCCTTTTGAATGAACTGGCTGTCTCTTGTTGTAAACTTCTTGTGCAATAACAGCTATGATTCTCCCCATTTACCGTGCATTTCCATGTTATGTGTACACGTGATCTCACGACTGCATCTCAATCTTGAGCACAGCTTTCCCTATACATTTGGGGTAATTGGACAACTGTCCCCAGCTGCGTTTATTTTTCATTAACATAAATCTGGCCAGGGACATTCTCCAGACAAAAGTATTTCAGCAAAGATACCTTTTTCCAAGGACAAAACTGCACACAGATAACATTAGCTCATCTCACTCACAGATAGAAAAGAACCACTAACAATTAAATCCTCAACTCCTTACCTTCACCCCGGGTTATTTACACAAGACCCTAACTTAAGAGATTTACTGCTCACACTCCTGGGATGATGTTTTAGCCACTTGCTAGTTACTGAGTTAAGGTAGTTACTTCCCACTGACCCAAGGAGATTGCCCTCAGGGCCAGGCAGGTGATAGGTGCCAAGCTTCTTTCTTGTGCAAATTAAGTTTTAATTCCTCCTCAGCCAGGTGCTATTCCCAGATTCCCTAATTGATCTTAGCCTTCAGTTGACCCTACCAGAGAGCTCCCCTTCAGTCACTCCCCTTTGGGGTTGTAATTGGAAGCTGACATTTATTACTTTATGTGTGGCTCTTTATCACCTCTCTCTGCGACCCTGAAAACTTCAAGCCTAGGCCCTGCATTGCCAAAGAACTACTGCATGTGTGTGTGTATATATACTGGTTTCCCAACAGCACTTGGGGAATTAATTTAGAAGAACAAGATGAGGACGGAGATGGAAAGAACTAGACAGAGATGAGAGAACAACAGGAGGGACTGAGAAGAGCTAAGTATGAGAACAGGAAAGAAACTGTGTAGATAGAATTTACTTAGAAGAATAAAGTGAGGGCTGGAGAGATGGCTCAGAGGTTAAGAGCACCGACTGCTCTTCCAGAGGACCTGAGTTCAATTCCCAGCAACCACATGGTGGCTCACAACCATCTGTAATGAGATCTGGCGCCCTCTTCTGTATACATAATAAATAAATTTTAAAAAGAAGAATACAGTGAATGGACTAAAGAACTCAGTGCGCTTAGATTCATTTTATATCCCTCAGATTAGAATCCTAGCCACTTGTAGCTTCTTCTGTTCTGGACCCTGGTAGAAATCTCCTCGGGGCAGGCACCTGAGGAGAATTCGGGACTGGCCCTTTCCAGGGAGACCTTACTTTCATAGCAGTTCATTGTTATGTGTCCCATTCTCTTAGTAGTACTGATTGCTAATCTCTCACTGTGCTTAGTTTGTAAATGAAACTTTGTCGTGGGGATGTACGCATAAAGGAAAGAACATAGCTTATGTGGATTGGGTGTCTTGGACTATGTTTCTCTCCCCGACTCCCCACCCCTCTCCTCCTTCCCTCCTTATCAAGAGATAAACGTGCAGAAAGAAAAAAGGACCATTACTCACCCTCTCCAAGAGCATCCAGTCTCTGGACAGAAAAAGGCTGCACAGGGGTTAGCCACCACCAGGGGGCAGCAGGGGGCTGGTCCTGGGAATCAGCGGGAGGAGAGAAAGAAATTGGTTGTGGGGGGCCTCTTCCCTCAGGGCGCGCTGGAAGACATAGGTCATAGGTACCCCATGCACGGGGCTGGCCCGTCCCTATCGTCTTCAAAAGCAGACGTCTCCCAAGCTTGGACCCCTGACTTTTCCAGCAGTGGGAGCTCCTTCGCTCCTTTCTGGGTTTTCTAAACAGCGGTGAGTCCCTGGCTGCTGAGGAGCAGGCAAGTGAGGCAGCGTGGCTCAAACTTGTGGACCTCAGGAACCCTTTAGGTCAGTGGTCCTCAACGTTCCTACCGCTGGGACCCTTTAACACAGTTCCTCATGCTGTGGTGACCCCAACCCTAAGTTATCTTTATTGCTCATCGTAACTGTAATTTTGCTACTGTTATGAATTTTAATGTAAACATCTGTGTTTCCTGATGGTCTTAGGGGAAATCCCGTGAGAGGGTCATTCGACCCGAAGGGGGCGCGGCCCACAGATTGAGAACCGCTGCTTTATGCGCAACCATCACGGAGAAGGACCTCAGAGTGGATGGCCTGGCTGTGTGGGTTTTACCTCTCAACATTTACCAATTTAGGAGTGAAAATTGAGAATCTAGAAGATAGTTACTTCTTATAATAATACATGTGGGTTTATTTAGAAAAATATAGTTTGTGGAACCAAAAATGTTAAGTATAGTACTATTTTACATTTGTGCCAATTTTTTTTTTCTGTCTAGCTTAATAAACGACAGATGGAGTTGCCTGTTTGTTTCTGCATTTGCTCTGCTGTGACAGTGGCCGAGTTTTCCCGAAGCACTTCGCTTTATACCCGTAAGGGGAGGACAAGAGAGGACAGAGCAAACCCATCCTATTATGAAGACGGTTTCGGCCTTGCATGCCCCTGCCCCTTTTGATATGAATGGCACCCGGTGTTATTTCCGGATAAGAACAGAGATGCTGTCTTATGTAGGAAAGGGATGCCTTTATTTTGTCTTTTTTTTTTTTTTTTTCAGAGCTGAGGACCAAACCCAGGGCCTTGCGCTTGCTAGGCAAGAGCTCTACCACTGAGCTAAATCCTCAACCCCGAAGCGATGCCTTTAATGGAGGCCGAAGACCAAAGGTGAGGAGGGGCCAGGCTGTCTGAAGTGTTCCACCATTAGAGAAGTAGCCTTCTAGTCAGGGTGCTGGACAGCAGGGTGTCCGCTGGTGTGACCCGGGATGTGAGGGCAATCTCAGAGTCCTGAGCAGCCGCTGGCAGAAGTATGTGAGGAGGCTCAATTCTTTGGAATGAGTTTTGTTTGTTTGATTTAGCTAACTTGCTGTGTTAGTTTTTGTTTGTTTGTTTGGTTTTTTTTTTTTTTGTGTGTGTGTGTGTGTGGTTGTTTCTTTGTTTGTTTTTTGTCTTTGTGGCCAAACGCCAGAAAGGAGGGACTATTTCTTTGTCTCACTGTTTCAGAGGGCTCAGCCCCTCCTCCTTGGCTTTACTGAGTCGAACTTGTTTTAAGACAGAACACCACAGTGGCAGGAGGTAGAGGAGGACACAGGCTGGAAAGGAGAGCAGAAGGGACCCTGGACCAGGTTAAACCCACAGAAAGAAAGCCAATGACCATCGTTCTCCTAAAGTTTCTATAACGTCACACAACCGCTCCACCAATGAGCCCATGGGGAATGTTTCAGATTCAGCTCATAGTGGAACCCACTTTGTGGGTTCTCACCAACACAAAAGTATCCCGAAACAGTGTCCCCATCATCTCCCCCTCCCCAGGCTCCCTCAGTTTCCCTGTCTGCATTAAAAGGTGTGTACCACGCAGAGCGGAGCGTGATGGTGCTCGGGAGCAGGACAAGTGGATCCCCTCAGTATAATCTTGGACTCCGGATCAAGACAGCATCTCAAAAAGAACACAGGTCAGAAAGCTAGCTTTCCTGTTAATTCCCTCTCGGGCACCAATGCTGACTGATCATATTGATTATCTGAGCAAATTCCTAATAATGCTGATTCCTCGGCCACTTTGGATCAACTCAGGGCCAGAACCTGACTTTTAAAGCCCTCAGCTGTTCTGATACCCCAAGTCATGAGCCTGGGGCCTCATCTCTCTCCATCGGTCAACTCAACTAAAACCTCTGTTCTCAGACTCTATGGCATCACCTGAGGCACATTTAAAAACTTGAATTTCTGAAGCTGGACGGATTGCTCAGTGGCTAAAGAGCACACACTGATCTTGTAAGGACCCAAGTTCAGTTCCCAGCACCCATGTTGAACAGCTCATGGCAGCCTATAACTCCAGCTCCAGGGGATCCAACACCTTTATCTGGTCTCCTGGGGCATCTATAATCACATGAACATACACTGTACACACAAGTAAAAATCAAATGAATCTTATAAACAAGTTAAAACTAAAACTTGAATTTCCTAAACTAACCCAAGAGACCAATACCTATAGATTAGGTAGGTGGGGATATATTTTTTTTTTCCTGAGACAGGGTCTCACTGTGTAGCTCTGGTTGTCCTGGAACTCACTATGCAGACCAAGCTGGCTTTGAACTCACAGAGATCCATCTACCTCTGCCTCCTGAGTCCTAGGATTAAAGGCAAGTGGCCCTCCACCTGGCTAGGCGGGTGTTTTTCTGCAGCAGCCCAGTTAGTTGTAATATAGAGGCCTGGGAGCCCCTTGTGTCCCAGGGACTGCCATCGCCTGCTGTCTGTTACCAAGATACTCTAGAGCGCTGTCCAGAATCGGCAGTCTCGGCCTTCACTCCTTCGCCCTTCGCACGATCAGACTCAGAATCAGCCATGGGTTGGTGCACACTTACCTTTCAGACAAGCCCAATTACAGGTGCAGCCTGTAAAAAAATGGAAGCAGACGAAGGACTCAGCCTTCGGCACACGGCTCCGCATCCACGCTCTCTCTGCTTGCCCAGGATGCTTTCTCCCATCATCAGGCAAGAGCCCCCATGCCCTTGTGCTACTGGCTCTGGCCCAGGTCTAAGTGACCCCTGGCTCACAGATCTCTCTTTTAGGACTTCAGGATCCTGGCTGCAGGGAAGAGCCCTGAGGCCCTAGGATGCGCTCTACAATGCACCCGCCACCACCCACACACAGTCTCACTGCTCCGGAGTCTCCAGAGTCTCTGCTCTCATTCTGCAGGACACACGCATGCGTACGTGAACCTACTCTGTGAAATGCTCAACACGCCTTAACGGTGCCTGGGCACACATAGTCACACACTGTCCCTTTTCCTGTGGTTGATACCATCGTTTTCTGTGGTCTGAACTTCCTAGGACACCTTCAGCAGACCCTGGGGATTTTCATGGTCAACTCTGAAGGGGTCAGGCTGGGAGAGAGCATGAAATTGCTGAGCACACAGGTCAGGGCGCCCCGGATGAGGCACACCCAGCCCGCCCTCACCTGTCCTGTCCCCCTTCGGGTGACTGATATTGGAGGAGGGTTGCTCCTCCTCCCAGTTCTTAGGAATATCTTCCCTTCAGGCCATCAGGAGTTGGCTTGGTTTGGGAACCAAACAGAAGTGCTCTAACCCAAAGAAAAGAGAAATTATGGGTTGAGGATCCCTTATCAAAAAGGCCAGGGACCGTGTAGTCCCTAGTGTTTGGAATCCAGAGTAGTTCAGATTTTGGAATATTTGTATGGGCTTTACCAGTGGACCCAAAATGCTCCAAAATAAAAACTTTTTCCCAGCAGTCTCTCCTGAGACAGGAGGATCACTTGAATTCAGGAGTTCAAGGCCAGCCTTGGCAGCAGAGCAGGACACAATTCTCTTTTAAAAGTTTCAAAATTCAGAGTGCTTTGAAATTGAATGTGCTCAGCCTTTGCCAGCACGGAGTCCTCTTTCTTTCTTCTTTCACTGAGGATTTTCTTGCGCATTTAGTTAGGGTTTCTGTTGCCGCGATAAAACACCATGACCATACACAACTTGGGGCGGAAAGGGTTTATTTCACCTTACGGCTAATAGTACGTCACTGAGGGAAGCCGGGACAGGAACCTGAAGGCAGAAACTGGAAAAGAAGCCATGGAGGAGTGCTCCTTATTGACTTGCTCAGACTGCTGCTGTCTTATACCACTCAGGATCATCTGTCCAGGGGTGGCCCCACCCACAATCAGCGGGGCCCTCCCACATCGATTGCTAAAGAGGAAAATGCGCTGTAGTCTTCTCAACTGAGAGCCCCTCTTCCCAAACGACTCTAGCTTGTGTCAAGCTGACGTAAAGCTAGCCTACACAGATACCTACCATGCCAAGCCCCGGGTTAAATATTAGCCGCTAGGTTTAAAATTAAACAAGGGTGCAGGCTCGGGAAATGCATTCAGGGTAGACACTAACGCCGCCTCAGAAGAGCTTACGTCTTCCCCACGATCGTGCCCTTTTACGTAGACCGAGAGAGACGTCTGTGTGAGGGACACATCTTGGCGGGAAGTGTTCCTCCACAGCAACGCCACCTAGCAGGGTGGTATCACCCAGGTATGAGTTCCGAAGCCCTTTAAACACAGCCTCTTGGCCCCGCTCTGCACGCGGCTCTGTGGCTGCTCCTTTACAGACGAGGAACAGACACTGGGAAGTCCGCGTTCGTGTCCAGGCACCACAGGAAGAAGCGACACCAGCAGCTGTCCTCGGGTTCTGTCCGACGTCAGTGACAGACTGTGACAGCGAGGTCCCAGTTCTAGACAGGCTGGCCTTTACGAGGGAACCGGAAAACACGGACGAGGCCACTTCACCGGTGCCTCCGAGGGGCGTGTGAATGACAAGTGCCACTCGGGTTGTGGACACAACGTGGGTCTGCCCGGGCCAGCAGCAAGGCTGTGTTGGTGGCCTCAACAGTCGTGGGAGGGAGCCGGCCATCACCCTGTGGGCATAAGGATGAACTAGACACGGCTTAAGTACTCAATGTGGATTAATTTACTAAAAATGCACATCTCAGCAACAAGCCCCGAGGAGGAGGAGGAGGAGGAGGAAAGTGTGGAAGTGGCTGCAGTCTTCCTGTCCTTTTGGCCTGAGCCTTAGCCTCTGGTGGCTGGGACGTCTCTCCAGACTACAGCTGCTGTCTTCCACAGCTCCTTCCAGCAAGAGCTGAGGTCTCTTTGCTCAGTCCCGGGTTTGGCCTGTTTGTGACTTGTTGGCCGGCTGTGACTTGTTGGACCCCGAGTGTGTGGCAGAAGTGAGCGTGTGCCATTTCCAAGCCTGGGGTCCAAGAAGTCCAGGTTAGCTTTTGCACTGCCATCCTTGCCGTGGGAAGAAGCCTGAGCTAGACCGGCCTGTTGCGAGGGGCATATGTCGCTTTGGGTGACAGCTAGCCAGGCAGCAGTTGTGTCCTGCCCGCGCACCATGGACACACCAGCAAGCAGCAGCAGGGCCAGGCTGGAAGGCCCCCAGCTGGCCCCCAGACGCTGGAGTGAATCCATGTTTACTGTCTGAAGCCACAGAGTTTCAGCCGCTGGATAGTCTGCTTTGGGGCAATATAGAACTAATCAAACAGGAAACACCTCAAGGAGAAGGAAGGGTGACGTTGGAGGAATTCCCACCAGACACTGTGGAGGAAGAGGAACCTTTGGCTGGGAAAAGAGGGACGGAGAGGGAAGGTGGGGAGGAGAAGCCGGCCTGAGGTGTGGGGAGAAATTCCAGGTGGAGAGAGGAAGCTGAACAGGAAGTGGGGTGGTACTGACCTGGGAAGACAGCCTCAGGCAACGCAGGCGGCTGCTCCGGCAGACAGAATTACTCATTTGGCCATAAAGGACCTGATGAGAGGGACCCCAACGGATCCCACTGGAGTCCTGAGCGCCGTAGGCGGGGTCCAGACAAGCCAGTGGGCTACTGCAGGGCTCTGGACCATGACAAGAGTGTTGAGTCTACATGTCAGTGACTGAGCACCAGAAAAGGAGAGAACTGGTTAGTACAAGGGACAAGCAGACTCAAAGCCAGCAGGAGAGAGAGAGAGAGAGAGAGAGAGAGAGAGAGAGAGAGAGAGAGAGAGAGAGAGAGTGTGCTGGGGATCTTCCTGCTGCACTGGTATTTGAAGTAGAAAGATGAGTAAACGTCACTGTTAAATGTCATCACCACAGAGCACACCCATGTGGTCCAAGCTACTCCCCAGGGTGGTGTGGAAGGATTGATTGAGCACAGGAATTCAAGGCCAGCCTAGTCAGCACAGCAAGACACCTGCATTTGAAAAGAAACCGAACTGCAGATAAAGGGGTGCTGCTGTGTCGGTAAGATTTCAGGCATCCGTTAAAAATGGAGCAAGGAGCTGGGCATGGTGGCACGCCCCATTAATCCCAGCACGTGGGAGGCAGAGGCGGGTGGATCTCTCAGTTCGAGGCCAGCCTGGCCTTCCGGGACACCCAGGACTAAACAGACAAACCCCTTCTCAAAAAACAAAAACAAACAGAAAGTTAAAAACGAAAACGGAACCAGGGCTTCCCTTTGGGAAGGCCCCTTTCCTTGGCCCTTGGCATTCCCCAGAACCGAATGGACACTTTGCATTCCCGGCCTCCACTCCCCGCCCGAGCTGTTGCGCGTTCCTCCACCGCCAGGCTGGCTGCCCAGGCTCTCTGCGCTCTGCGCGCGTGGCTTGCGGGCAAGCCGGGCTCGCAAGGCTCCACGAGGCCGCCAGAGGGCGCTGGGCCGCCGCCTCGGGGAGCGGCTGGCCGGGCAGTTTTGGTGTTGAAATGCAGCGTTTGCAGCTCCCGCACCTTCCCCAGCACGTTTCTCTGCATCTGTCTGGTCGAGAATTTAGCCCGGGTTGGGGTGAGGTTAACTTTAACACCAGGTGAGCCGAGCGGGGTTTGCGCACCAGTGCAGACTGGTTCCAGAACGCCCTGGGCCCGGGTGTTCCAGATCTACCCGGATCCGGGGGGACCTGTAGGGAAGACCCCGTGGGGGGATTGCTCGGGCCTCACACCACGGAAGTCATCCGGACCTCCAGACCCGATGGCCTCTGGGAGTTCTCTGGGGACATCCTGGGGAGTGTCCGATTGGAAACTTGTTTCAGTTCTTAAAAATAGAAACAAAACCGGGCGGGGGTGGCTCACGCCTTTAAACCCCGCACTCTGGAGGCCAAGGCAGGTAGATCGCTGAGTTCGAGGCCAGCCTGGTCCACAGAGTTCCAGGACAGCCAGGGCTACACAGAGAAACCCTGGGGGGAAGCGGGTCACATCCCCGGACGACGATCCGGGGACAGAGACAAAACTAAACCTCAGCTTGGGAAGATGTCTCAGTCTCTATTCTCCTGCAGGAAGCTGCTGCAGGTCAGAGCCTCCTGGGATTGGCAGAGTTAAAAATCCTTCAACCCAGGATGCTGTAGACCTTTTGTTCAATTCTGACAATGGAATTAGGAATTGGGGGGAGCGGACTGGGAGGCAAGTAGCTGTGGTCGGAATGCATCCTTTCCGGTGGGGGTCTGGAGAAGCCTGTGTTGAGTCACCAGGTAAATTAAATGAAAAGGATGCATCCCCGCGCGTGAGCTGTGTGTGCCGTGTGCTCCGGAAAGATGTAAGTGTGGCAGAGGGCTGGAACGCTGGGCTACCAGTCTAACCCGTGTGTAAGAGTGCCTGCTGTGCGTTCAGCAAGTCCGTAACTACCCAGGGAGACCTTCCGAAAAAGGAACTCGATATTGGTCCCTGAAAGGTTGGGTAATGGGTTTTCCTTGCATCTGAAACCCAAGGGGACCAATCCCGGGTTCCCCATGGATCTCAGACTCTTCTGAATGTCTTTGTCTTCTGAAATCCTGGGGTCCCGCGAGGGAGCACTTAGTTAAGGACTCTGAGATCGGTACCCTTCCACCTATCAATCATCCTGAAATCCTTGCTAGGAATTTCCTGCTCCTCATCCCACTTCCTCAGCAGCACTGCGAACTGACCTGGAGGGATGCTAGAATTTTATCTTCCGTTTTCCCGCCCACTCTCCTGTCCACAGCCTGCCCCTGGGATGCAGCGAACTCTCTGGCTTCCCGCTCCCAGTCCTGAGACACTCAACCCATCTTCACAGTTGGGTTTGGTATTCCTTCTCCAGTCAGTTCGAGCACCCGTGAGCGGTTCTATCAAATCCAGAGTGCACCAGGCCCTGGGATTTCACCAGACCAAGACAAACACCTGCCCTTCGGCACCGTTTGTTGGTGCGTTTGTTCCAGGGGTAGGGATGTGCCAGCAAGACACTCTGCTAGTGTGCTGCAGCCCAAGCCCAGGATTAAAAAAGTCTGTGTGTGGATGGGGATATACAGTTAAGTGTATGGGTGTGTGCTGTGCATGTGTTCCTGTGGATGCACATGTGTGGGGAGGCCAGGCGTCAATGCTGGCAACTTCCTTGATCACTCTCCACCTGAGACAGGGTCCCCGTGATGATCAGCATGGGTCATCAATTTGACAGGATTAGGAATCACCTAGGAGACGCAGTTCCAGGCACACCTGGGAGGGATTAGATTAGGTTAGCCTCTGGGCAAGCCTGTGAGAGATTATCTTGATTGAGTTAATAGACGTGGAAGATTTGGCCATTGCCTGCTGGGTTTGGGTCCTGGGCTGCATATAATGGAGGATGCTAGCTAATCCTGAATCTCCATCCTCTCTTTTTGCTGACAGCAGACACAATGTGACCGGCTCCTCCAAGTTCTGTTTGGCCCGGCTCCCCCACTGTGATGAACTGTACATTAATGGGCTACTTAGGTCAAGTGTTATGTTACATCATCAAAGCAAGGAGCTAGGACAGTCTCTCCGTAAACTGTGGAGTCACTGATTCCACTGCTGACCTGTGAGCTCCAGGGATCTCCCTGTCAGCACCCCCAGACTCTGCCACCCACTGGGGTTACAGACGAGCTGTGGCAGTTTTACATTCGTGCTGGGGATCCAAATTCAGGTTCTTATGCTTGCATGATGGGCACTTTCCCAGGTGAGCCCTCTTCTCTACCCCAGCGTTCTCCGTTTTAATTGGAAGGGCAGATTAGACGCAAAGTCAAACTGTTTTACATGTAGGTGAGTACTATGAAGAAATTATAGTGGCACATGCCTGTAATGCCAGAGCTTGAAGTTTGAGGTAGGAGGCTTGAGAGTTTGAGTCCAGCCTGGGCTACACAGCAAAACCCTGGAGAAGGGGGCGGGGCCGGGGAAGGAGGGAGGGCACGCTGGTTCAGGAAGTGCCTCCTGGGAAGGTGGACAGCCCTGAAGATCTGTGGACGAACGCTCCCAAAGAAGGACCAGCCCGGACACAAGTCCGGAGGCAGAGCTTAGCACAGAGCGGAGAAAGCCGCACCCTGGGGGCCCTGGGATCAAGCCTTGCCTGCCTTTAGATTGTGCGGCATTGCCCGAGGGTGGTGGCCAACACCTGTAGTCCCAGCATGTGGTCGGGTCCGGTTCCCCCCCACCCCCACCCCGCTTCTCAGCCTTTTATCGGAAGAACTGATCCACCTTTACCCACAGAGCCTTCTGGCTAACCCTGATCCCAGCACTTGGGAGGCAGAGGCAGAAAGGTCAGGAGTTCAAGGTCATCCTCACCAAATAATGGCAGAGGAGATGAGGCAGTACCAGAGAGACCAATGACCAGAACAAGGTGGTGGGTGGTGCCTAGTGACACATTCTGAAGGAGCTGAGCTTATGTTATTTAAAAGTTTTAAGTTTAGTTTTGTGCCAGGCAGTGGTAGTGCACACCTTTAATCCCAGCCCTTAGGTGGCAGAGGCAGGCGGATCTCTGTGAGTTCGAGGCCAGCCTGGTCTACATAGTGAGTTCCAGGACAGCTAGAACTACACAGAGAAACCTTGTCTCAAAAAAAACAACAACAAAATTTAATTTTGTTTATTTATTTTTGAGGCAGGTCTTGCTACGTTGTCCAAGGTTAGTATTAATTACAGGCATGAGCTCTATGATATTCAGCTTCAATTTTGAAAATCAGCTTAATGTGTTAGAGCATTCTTAGGTAGTAGACAATACAAAGATTTTTCCTATTCTCCTGGCTCTGCCACACAGACATTTGATGAGCAGACATAGGCACATTGCTATTGACTGCATAAATAAAAAACCCCCCCCCCCCCCCCCCCCCCGTGTGTGGCCCAGGTGGGTTGGAACCCATATATAGCTGAGGATGGCCTTGAACTTCTGACCTCTGGCTCACTTTGCTTCTTTATTCCTGGTGTTGTATCTCATTCCTTGCCGACAGATAGATAACAGGTTTTCTGGCCCCCATCCCCACCAACTCAGTAAGCCAGATCGCACCAAATTGAAAAAGTGTAACAATAGGTTTATTTGTGCAAAGCAACTCCCGGGTGGGTTCTCCGGTCCCAGAGATCAAAGCTAGAGGAGTCACACTCCCAAACTAAATCAGGGAGACTTTATAGGTTGTAGGCAAGGGATGATGACGTGTCCGACATGAGCTGGATTTATGCCCAAGTGTGGTTAAAAAATAATAAAAACAAAAAACCTGAGTGCTTAGGTGGAGACTTGGGTGGCTGGTAACTTCAGGGAGGGAAGCTCAGTCGCGGCCAAGAATTCAGAACTGGGCTTTTTAGCGCCTTCCCTTTGTTTGGAGACTCTCTGAGGGGCAGGGGTTTGGAGAGAGAGACAGGGACGGGGCTTTCCAGATCATGCAGGGGTGAGCTGGAGGTGCCAACGGAACCATGAACAACAGCGGGTGCCGTTATGCTATGAGCTGAGTAGTTTCACTGACCTAGGGGGCTAGGATTTGGAACAACACACTCGGTCCAAGGGGCTTGGCCTAGGGGCTCTGTCTTGGAGAGGGCTATGGGGACATGATTTCCTCAAGGGCCACTGGACTTGGGACAGAAGAAAGTGATGCCCTTAGAGGTCAAAGGCCAAGACTGGTTGGTGATGCTCAGCCATGGGCTTCAGGTCTGGTGGGATTGCCCTCCTGCCCACTGGCAACCCTGGGCAGGTGCAAGCCTCCGGGAGCACAGGACATCCACATCCGACTCTGCCGGAAGCCTTTCAGATGATGCGGAGAAACCGAGTTTCCTTTCCAGGAACACCTCTCATTTTGGCCGGCTGTGCTTCTTAGCCTTGCCCTCTGGTTCCTGATGTCTTCTCTCTCTGCCTTGGCGTGGATTTCTTCCCTCACTGGACACCAACTCGGGCAGACACCATGCGACACCATTGTGTGCCTGCTCAGGCCCAACGGAGCGCTTTCCATACCGTGTGCCAGCTGAGTGGGATACAGATGCCACCTGGCTTCCCCTCAACTACCAGTGGCAACAGTGTGACCCTGGGCTGAGGTCCACAGGGCCGGAGTTGGGGTCTGGGGACCGCCAGTGGGTGCTAGAGGCAGGGGGCTCTCATCCCCCCCAGCCCCTGCCTGTCACCTCACCCGGCTCTAGGCAGCGTCCAAGGGCTGAGGGTACACAGCCTCCTCCGTCT